TCGAGTACTTCTTCGAGGAAGGAGAAGCAAGGTCGAAGTTGTGAAAAAGAGAGTCATGAACTTCCTAAGAGAAAACTAGTACGAAAAACAAGCTCAATATCTTCCCCTTCTACTCCCTCTAAGAAGGAGAAAAAAAGAGGGAGTTGTTTGAAGGACACTCCTGAACTTCTGAAGGGGAAACTTGCTCCAAGAGCAAACTCATTTTCTTCCCCTTTGTCTCCTTCTAAAAGAAAGGGAATACTAAATATGAGTAGCCAAAAGGATATTAACAATGAGCCCCCCAAGGAGAAACTTGTTCGAAAGGCTAGCTCGTTATCTTCCTCTTCCAATTCTTCAACGAGGGAGCAGAGGAGCCTGAGTACTAGTACTCCTGAGAAAAACAGAAGGAGCACTGCATTGATCAAGTCAAGAATCAAGGAGTTAGGCCCTATCTGCAAAAGGCGAAAGGAAATTCTGAGTTCCATTAAATTGGAAGAGGATATTGATGTGTATCTCGATAAACAGATCGAGGATGAAGGGAAGGCCAACCCTGATGATTGCTTGTGGTTATCCTCAGGAAGCATGTCCCCTCAAGAGTTCGGTCTCTTCATGAGCGCTCTTGATCCATGTCTTGACGAATGGGTGCTCTCTTTTCTTCCTAGATCATCAAGGACACCTAAGGCTTTTGATGGGTCAAAGGTGATAAATCCTGTATGTCAAGCTAATTTATTGGGGGGAGTAGAGAAAGAAGAGGTGACATATGAGGCAAATGGATCAGCTCTAGAACGTTCACAAAGCATCGACTCTTCTTGTTCTTCTTTGCTTGCTTTGAGCACCAGCAACAACTCCTCATTCTGGAATATGGACAGGACCGGCGTTTGGGTATCTTTGATCAATCTTGATGGGGAAGATACCAAGTTCATTTCAGATATGGACTCACAGGTGGATGAATTGGAGTCTAACTTTCCTAGTCCAAATTATGAGTCCAACTGGGATTCTTATTTTTCTGATGTTGGAGTTTCTTCATCTGCCAAATCTACAACACAGGAGAGTGCTTCCCAGAGTGAGTGGTCTTCAGACCTCCTGTCTGACTCCATGGATTGGGAAATGGAATCTGATGATCCGATATTTTGGCCTTATGGGGTGGATTGTGACTGGGATCAGAAAGATTTGGATTCATTTTCAGTTTCACCTCGCAAAGGGGTATACAAGATAAGGTTCAAATCAGGAGAAGACAGCTCTGTTACTCCTGATTCTATCAGGTTCCGGCTTCAAGGTAGGAATGGAAAGCGGATTGTTTTCATGTCAGGTTTAAGTGCATCGAAGATGATTGCTTTTAAGAAGGGATGTCGAAAGAATGCTACTACTGCTGCTGGTGCCACAAGGGGGAAAATATGCTCGAAGATTGGTAAACGAGCTAACCGTTTCAAGAGAAGGGTCCCGCCAATCCTTGAGGATGATCTTGAAGGCATGTCTCCAAAAGAAACACCAAAAGAATCCTTAAAGAAGGGTAGCAATTCTTCTGACATGGATCTCTCAGAGTGTACTGATGATTGGGGTGATGAGATGGACAATGATGGTCCACTTTTTTGGCCAACTGATCAGAAAACTGCCGACTGGGATGTGACATGGGATTCTTTCAACATATCACCTCGAAAAAATACACAATTGACAACTGATCTAAGCTCTCCAAAAGGTGGTTTTGCAATTTCGAGTTCTGTCAGACTGAAATTCTGTCCTAAGAAGGTGAAATCTAAGACAGTGCCCAGCACAAAATCTAGTTTAGGCACATCAAAGAGTTTCAAGTTTAAATCCATCTCCCAGAAGACTAATGTTGCTGCTGCGGGTAGAAGCTTGGTGGTTATCGTCCCTGGGAAACGAATATCCATGTTTAAATCTTCAAATATGTTTTTTAAGCATGGAAGTCATGGTAAAAAGAAAAGGGATATGCCTCTGAAAGTTGGTAAATCAGTAGAAGAGTTCATAAGATTGGTATCTATTATTGGTATGAACAAGATGTTCCCTGGTAATGAACTAGCCGCAGAAAATCTTCCCATTGAAACCCTTGTAGGCCTTGGCGAATTTGACGGGCACGAGGGTGTTGATATGGAGTTTGAAGATGATGAATTCTCACTTGAGGAATGCACAAAAGGTTGAAAACGCATTGTTTTCGCAGATGGAAGTGGAGCTTTGGTTAGTTCATGAAATGGCTTGAGTTCTTGCTGCCACATTTATCATTTTGTCCTTTTAATTTTGCAATGTTGTTTGTTACAATCAGGCTTCAGCATACATATAGTGTGAGGATAAGAACAAAAAGGAATAAAAAAAGAGTGACATTTCAGGTACTGGTGTAAAGACTCTGATGTTTTCTTGAACTGGAGTACCAATAAAATTTGGAGAAAAAAAAAAAAAGAGAAGAAAATGTTTGAGAAATGGAGCTTGTTAATGTCTATCTCAGCCCTCTATCAAACCCACCTTAACCTCCTCATAAATGAGTAAAAATAGTCTATCCTCAAGTAACTGCATTCAGCAGAACACGTAGATTATTGTCATCGAAGATTATATTAGTCTATGTAGGAGTTGAACCTACATCATTGTGCTGCTTAACGCTACACAACGCTCTGCCATGCTGAGCTAACAGGCTAAAAAAGGGGTCATAGTTACCAGAAAATTTTTAACATGCTATTACTGTAACAGATCAAACAGAATAGCAGAAGATTACTTCTAAACAATAGCAGGATGTAGTATAAATCATGAAGGACATTTAAACTTGAACAAAAGAAGATGCTAAAGACTTTATAAAACATGTTTTATGGAAATAGTAACAAATGCCATTATCACATTCAAATAACTTATTACCAGAAAAATTGCCAAGGTATGAAGACCATAAACTCGTAACATACTAGTGCCACACACAATACAAATATACAATTATCATAAAACAATAACTGTAAGTAACTTACTGAAAGTTCTGTATTCGACTACTCGTATACACGTAATTGATCCTGTAAAATCATCTTTCAAAAATCCTGAACTCATCAAGCAAAATAGGCACACCAAGCCTTTGACCAAAATGATAGACTACTCAATCCCTCTTAGGTAACACACACCATAAACTAAGGTTAATCAAATTAAATTGGAATTGGTGGAAATTCGGATTGGACCGACTCAAAATTGAAAACCCGAATCTTATTTCGGATTACAATGGACTAGACTTGGGCCAAATCCAAACCGAAAACCGGACTTTCACTCTTAATTCTATTGCCAGAGTTATAGCATTCCAGAACAGGGCTACTGCTCTACTTTGATATACATTCCAAAAAAAAAATAGCCTAATTCACACACCAGACGAATTTCAAATACTTGTACTATCAATGTACAATTCAATCAATTGTTTCAAGCAGCTTGAAGAAAAATGGAATTTTGTCAGACCAATCAGAATTTCAAAAATGGAAATAATAAGTTCATAATCAAAGCTCATAAATTTATCTCGAATATTAGATTGTTGAACAAAATTAAGGATGAATAACGCAGAATTGGTAAAATTATAAACCCTAAACCAAAAAATTGGATAGGATCGTCGAAAGAATACCTTAATTGTGGAGAATTTGTTCTTCAATTGATAAAAAGAAGGCGAAATTGCATAGGAAACATTTATCTCCAAAATTTATGTTCTCGACTCTTGAGAGCCTGGGAAGAGATGAAGAACTTATAGTTGACTTTTTGTATTGACTATTCAGGATTTCTTTTTTTTTTTTTTTTTTTTTTTTTTTTGATTTGACTAGGACTATTGAGGAAGTTGAAAATGCTTCTATTTTTAATTTTTTTTCAATGGTACTCGTAATTAGGTAGAGCAACAGTGAATTTTTTTTTTTGTTTTTTTTATTTTTTTTTATTTTGACCAGGACTATTGAGGAAGTTGTAAATTACTTCTATTTTTAATTTTTTTTCAATGGTACTCGTAATTAGGTAGAGCAACAGTTGGGCATGGGCCAGCCACATCATGAAATTAGCCGAACTTGAGCCAGTTATCAGCTAATCGTCTAATCGGGCTGGTGAGAGAGTAGTATATACATTAATAATAATTGAGCACCGCCAAACAATTAACCTCGTCAATTTCGACTATAACTCATACAATTTCCAGCATAGAACTCACGTTTTAATGGCTAGACCATGAAAAATCAGTCAAAGGTACTCCATAGCATTGCTCACTCTTCTGTTTTGGAGTTTTGTTTTTTGGGTGGTTTCCAGTGATTTCTAACGGAGTTGGTTGCGTGTTTCTGGGTTTCGACCAAGGTGGTGGCTGGTGGGGTGGGTTCCTTGCTGTCGGAGGTGGAGGTGGAGGTGGTGGGCGGAGGTTTGGCGGGCAATGGGAGCTATCCATGGAGGTGGGGAAAGGGTTTAAGGGAGGAAGAAGATGAAGAGGAAAGGAAAAAAAAAAAATTACTACCTCCGTTAACGAATATTTGCAACATTCGTACCTTTCACGGAGGCCTAGGCAAAACTTTTAGTGGGTATTTAGTGGTTGGTAATTGAAAAGAGGGGCATTTGATTAGGCAATTAAAAAAGGAGAGAGAATCTGAAATTGACAGACCCAGTTTTTTAGGAGGAGAGAGAATCTGAAATTTTTACCCACCAAAATTTTACCTTTGTTTTGAAAAATTTTGACCCACCAAAATTTTTGGTGCCAAATTTTTACCACCAAAATTTTACCTTTGTTTTGAAAAATTGACAACTTACCCAAATTTTTCCCTCCCTCTGAATTTTTCATTCAAGGTGGGTATATATAGAAGCTGTGAAACATACAGCCATTTAACAGAATGTTCCAAATTAAATTACACCATTGTTTCTTCACAAAAGTTAGACCTAAACTATCATCCTACAACTAATTAGTCTTAGGTCAATTCAGCATCTTCATCTCTTTCCTTTGGTTCAGATACAGCACAGCAAAAAAAAACAGCCACCTCACTTCATTACCAGCCCTGAAATCTGGGGAACTCAGCATTATTAGAATAGGCAACATGGCAGAATTTTTAGAAGATGAATTTTTCAGCATTGATCAAATGCTAATTGATGAAAGCAACATGGAGGACAGTCAGGCAAGCGCCATGGAAGGGACTGAATACAATGACAACAATGTCGTACATGAAGAAGCAATGCAGCAACCCAAAGGCAGAAAACAGCTAACTGTTTCCCAGAAAAGGGAACTTGTTGATGCTTTTCTTTTGAAGCAAGAGGGTGGGACATTGCCAAGAGGGTATTTATCACAGCAAGCAAGGAAGTTCAATGTGCACAGGTCAACAATTCAGAGGCTATTCACAGACATAAAATCCCAAATGGCAGTGGGGAATGTGATAGATGTCAGAAGCAAAAAGCTTGGCATTGTTGGTCGCAAACCAACAGAGTACACAGATGAGTTTTTGCAATCAGTCCCACTGTACAAGAGGACAACTGAGAGAAGCTATGGAGCTGCCCTCAATATCTCACATGTCACCATCCATAAATTAAAGAAAAAAGGGAGACTCAGAACACATACAAGCACAAATCACCCAGCACTGACATCCAACCACAAGATAGCAAGATTTAAATGGGTTTTAAGTCATCTACTGCCTGCTGCAGAGAATGGGGACCCTAAGTTCGAGGACATGCAGCAAGTAGTACACATTGATGAAAAATGGTTCTATTTGAACCCAGAAACAAGGAGGTTCTATCTCTTGCCAAATGAACCAAATCCATATAGGTGCCAACAGTCCAAAAGATTCAAGGTAAAAGGCATGTTCATGACAGTCATTGGGAAGCCAATATTTGACACTCATGGACTAGTGGTACATGATGGAAAGTATGGAATCTTTCCATTTGTGTATGACAGCACAGCAAAGAAAAAAAGCAAAAACAGGGAGGCTGGAACTGTGGAAATAAAGGCAATACAGAATGTCAACAAGGAGGCAATCAGGGCAATGCTTCTGAACAATGTAATTCCAGCAATTAAAAGTAAATGGCCACCCCATCTGTCCAAGGACATATGGATTCAGTGGGATAATGCCAGACCTCATCAAATTCCTAAGGATGAGGAATTTATTGCTGCCTGTCAGTCACATGGGTTCAAAATTCAGTTCATTTACCAGCCAGCTCAGTCACCAGACTTAAATGTGCTAGATCTTGGGTTGTTCAATGTCATACAACCCATACAATACCAGTCATTTCCTAAGAACTTGGGGGAACTCATAGACAAGGTCAAGGAGGCTTATGAATTGTTCGATCCAGTGTTGAACAAGCACTATTGGATAACACTGCAATGTTGCATGGAAGAAATACTGAAGAACCTAGGAGGCAATAACTTTACCCCACCACACAAAGGGAAGAAAAGGCAGGACAGACTTGGCATGCTGTCAGAGCAACTACAGGTGGACAAGAATGTGGTTCAACAAAGTGTTGATTACCTCAACACTCTGTTCATATCAACAGGTGAAGGCAATGAAGAAGATGAAGGCATGCAAGTTGATGCAGACTGAACAAAACTGAAGCACAGTGAGACTGCCACACATAACCAATGAATAGGAAGGAAGCAGCTGGAAACCTAGTAGGTACTGTTTTGTGTTTTTTTTTGGATAATTGTATGACTTTCATTGGTTAGGTGTATTTTGTCCAATCATGGTTACTATTATTGTAAGGCAGTCTTGACTAGCTTATTTTGAACATGTACAAGCTTTTGATAAAGTTTTTGGCATCAACTGTGGTTGGTTTATTTTCAACAACAGATTACTAAATTAGAGTAACTGTGACACACAGACCCATACCCCAATCCATCAGAGGGTGTTATTTTATCACAGAAATTGCATAAGTGGTTCCCTCAACAACAACTCACATATGAAGTTGTTGGAGCAATTCCAACTTATGAATTTTATGGATCAAATGAGTCCCTTCATCACTTGGATTTTCCACCCACACACAAAACAGTCAGGGACTCTTAGTTCACCTAGGGACAAACATCACATAAGGGGACTCATACAGGGACAGACATGTAGGCCACAAGTTCATCATCATTCATCATATCACAAACCCCAGTGCTTTTGGTGCCTATTTTGTACAACCTCAAGCTCAAGCCATACACAACAGAAACCAGAAACAGCCAACAAATTGACAGAACTCATAAATGACCAGGAAAAGCCAACAACAACACAACAGTATCCAGAGATCAGCAACCTCAAGCCCTACATAACACAAACCAGGAAAAGCCAACAACAACACAACAGTATCCGGAGATCAGCAACCTCAAGCCCTACATAACACAAACCAGGAAAAGCCAACAACAACACAACAATATCCAACAACCACAGCACCAACATTCCCAACCACAGGCAACCAATTTGCTAGCAAGTAAAAATACGACAGCATCTAACATCAATCCCAGCATTTGTCAACAGTAACCCAAAAATCAGAAAAAAGAAGCCCCATATTACCAACAACAGTCAACAATTACTACCAATAAGTAAAAAAAAATGCAAACAGAGTGTAATTATCACAACTACCAAGCAAATCAGGCTAATATCCACAACCACCAAATAAATCAGACACTGAGAGCAAATGATCTAAACGAATCAATAAATGTAAGGGTCAGAAAAGAGTTACACTGCATGATTAGTTGGAGCCATAGTTGGAAGGGTTGTAATCCCCACCACTTTCAACACCCTCGTTGACAGGGGACTCAGATCTCTCCCTTTTTTTGCCAGAGAGAACTTGGGTAGACCTAGATCTACCCAGATCTACCGCCTCCTGGACGGTTTTCACCGGCGAAAGGGCTGCAGAAAGGGGTTGCGCATCATCGCCCTTCAGTACATCAACATAAGGACCCTTTTTGTTCGCACCCTCACCGTTGTTGCCTAGATCTGCACTGTTAGACCCACCAGGGTGTTTATCAGAGTCGTATGGAGCAAGCTTTGCACCCACACGACCCATACGCCTCATATCCAGGTAAGTAGCCGTACGCGTTCCAATCAACCTCATCTTCCCAGTACGTCGCTGGCACTTGTAAGTGGCAACGACTTCCAGATCTGGGTTTTTGTCGTTTGAGGAACTCATTTTTAGGGTTTTGGAAGAAGAGAGTTGAAGAACAGCTACAGCAAAAGATCGCTTTTTGGAAGAACAGAGAGAATGAGGTAGGCCAGATCGAAACAACACAAGAGAAGAATGTTGGAATCTGGAAGGGTTTCCAGAAGTAAAGGGGCTTCATTAATGGCGGTGGTTGAGGACGCATTGAAGAGGGTGGGTGAGAAGATGAAGATTTTTTTTGACAGATTGATGGATAAGGGGGTAAGTGAGGGTAAATGTGGGTGGGATTCATTAGGTTTCATGAAATCAGTATACTAATAGGGATATGTAATTAGTTTTATAAATTAGGTTAGTATCTAATCCGTTTTTAACAAGGGCAGTATGGTAATTTTGTAGGTAAAAAAGTTACTAAAAAAGGAAACAAAACAACTTGTTGCAAATAATAGTTAGCACCCGTTTTTGGTAAATGTTACAGATATTCGTTAACGGAGGTAGTATATTGTGGTATGGACAACTATGAGCCCATACCTGGTAGTGGGCTATAGTTACTCAGCAATGAATCGTGCATGAATACTCCGTATTAGAATCTCATGTGTTGAGTAGTTTATATTAAACCCATTGATAAAAAAAAATCTAAACCGTATTAATAAGGACCAATTGGTATGATATGGCTAGGCACAACATAATATATTGGTTGTGCAATTGTGTTGGGTTTGACTTGTTTGTAGAAGATCAACTTGATTCAAATCCGACATATAGATTATTGAGTAACTTTTTTGAACCATTCTAAATTTATAGGTTTAACACACCAAATCACAAAGTTTAATAATCTAACGTGTGATCTTGTGAGAAAGTCACTGTCATTATGATGATTAGTACTATTGTACTTATTAGTACTTTTAGACAACAAATTAATTATACCAATATGAGATCTAAAGTTTTTCGAGTACACGATAAGTCGAAAGTAATTACGTTTTTACTCCCTCATTTGTGGTCATGTGTAACAATAATATGCACCATTTTCCCCACATTGGTGATATAATAAAGGAAAACTATAAAAGTAACAAAACACAAAGTTTAGTACTTAGTATGAAAATGATAAAATTGCACCTCCAAAGTCCAACCTGCCCACCCCCCTAATGACAAAGTGACAGCCTCATCCCCCAACAACCTGCCGCTGCTCCTCTTCCAGATTTTACTCCCACTTTCTCTCTAATTAATCAAATCATATTTATATTTAATCAAGAAATTAATTAAACTACTGTACTATACGTCTATATTACTCCCACTAACCATATTATATACGTCAATACATAGTTAACAACAAAACTATATAAATATAAGTATGGGTTCAATGAATATAATATAGAAGGAAGTTATATTATGGTATTGAATGATGATTATGTATCTACCTTATATTTAATCTTTATCTACATAACACGTACACAATGATTGGTGTTACTGAGTAGTATTTGGTGTACCCATCTTCTCCATTTAAGTCCAATTTGTCGGAACTTTCAATTTCATGATTCATGTGTTGAAATAGTTAGGCAATGAATATAATAAATTCACACATGAATAAATATTTTCTTATGTGTAAATTACGAATTAAGATTAAATTGAAATTTTATAATAATGTTAAAATTTAGATTGTTAAGAACTTTTAGGGACAAAAACAACTTTAGTATATAAAAAAGTATATCTCTATTCAAAAATAAAAAAATAAAAAAATATATATCTTGAATAATAAAACTCAAACTAAATTTAACAATATTATTATAAGATTATCCATCTCTTTTCGTTTAGTGGACTTAAGGGTCAATAAAAGGTACTAATATGCACAAAAGTCGACTTAGGTTTTGCATGGTTGATAGTCTTGACACCATTCTTTGGACCTCGAGAGAGCTTAAATTACTTCTTACGTTCCTATTTATTTGCCCCACTTTTCTTTTTAGTCCATCCTTTTAAGTTTGTCCCACTTTTAATTTTAATTCGTTCCTTTAAGTTTGCCCCATACATAAATACTCTTACACCAACTACAATTGGTCCCATCACTCTTTTCTCTCATGAACTCTTTCCAACCAAATTACCAAAAAAAAAAAAAAAAAAAAAGAGACGCAAAGAGTATTTGAAGTTTTTTATTCCCTTTATCCAATATGATAAAATTTTCATACCCACCAATGTGGGACAAAACACTTTCTTTAAAATAGAATACTCCCTCCGTCTCTTTATTAGATGCTTATTTCTAGTATTTTATTACTCACATGATAAAGAAAGTAGGCATTTAATTAAGGGATGGGGGAGTAGTTAGAAAATACCTAGTAAAATTTTCTACCAACTTTGCTTTGTATTACATCCAATAATGTGCACAAAATTTGATCTTATGTCTTGGATGTAATTTAGGCTATAACTCTCGACACACTAACTTACATTGACAACTAATTTTTAATTTTAAACGGAGGGAATATTAACACCTAATGATGAATGAGCAAGAGAGCACGAGAGCACACGACCAACCTCGACATAATGACCAAATTAAAAGGGAGTAATTTACGAGCCAATGGGGTTTGCCAAACTATCTAGGAACTCTGAATCGAAGCTTCTCTCTGTCCTCCTCTCTTTCTCCACTCTGTAAGCAGCTTACCTTCTTTTCTTTTCCTTTTTTTCTCCTCCTCCCTTTTTGACTTTCCATTTTTATTTCCCATTTTTCTGGTATCCCACGCGATCTCCTTTCCTCCTACTTACCCCATTCTTCGTTTGATTTCTAAGCACTATTATTTTCAGATTTCAACTCTCATTTCTTGTTCATCTTTGTCAATTTCAGCTCTTTGGTGAGTTTCCCAACTCTTATTTTATTTGTTTCTGCTTCAATTTTGCTTGTTTTTGATGTGATTTTTTCTGGGTGTGCTTTGAAAATGTGATTGCTGAAGTGGGGTTTGTGAATTTGTTGTTGGGTAGTTATTGATTTGGCATAATTGTTAGTTTTGTGCATCGAATTCTACTGGGGTTTTTCTTGATTGTTGTTTGTATTATTGATTTTCTTTATCATGATCTTAAGAGAAATGGGGGAAATTAGATTTGATGGAGATTTATGTGGTTGTTGGATTTTAATTAAGGTTTTCTTAATTACTGATTTTCCTCGTGTAATCTCAAATTTTGCCTAATTTTCAGTGTTGGATTTTTTGTGTAACAAAAAAGAAAAAAATAAAAAAAAATAAAAAAATAAAAAAAAAAAAAATTAATTAATTTGTGTTATATGGAGACTTGTTCAATTTCATGTCAAATTTAAGTGTGTTTTATCACACAAATGAGTCTCTAATTTTATTTGAGCTATAAAATAAGTGTATTCATTGTACTTGTGATTAGGGAGTATCTTCTTATTCATGTTATTTAGGATTTGAATATGTAGGGCTGGTTGTTTCTTGTGTTTACAGAATTGTTTGAGTGTGAGGATCAAGCATTATGCGTGCCACGTCATTGTTAGCACAGTGCTTACCAGGTTTGTTGCCCCATGATCGAGGAAATCCCAGCATCTCTGCTGTTTCAGACAGAGATGCTCAATTTACTCCACCCGCTGTTGAAATTCTCCCATCAAAGGTAAGAACTGTTCAATACCTTTTGAAAACTTGGTTGAAGTCTGTTACTTTATAATTCTTTTTGTTGCCTGTTTTAACCGATGATGGAAGTGTAGATAGATACTAGGATGCATCACTTTTGAAATGATTTGGCCATCCGGCAGCATCTTCACTCGCTTGTTATCTTATCTCAGGTGGTACAAACTTCCAAGGGTGATGGAGACAATGCTGATGGACAAGGACTCCATACATTCAAGGTTTTTCATTGGGACTTGTTATCAAATTTTTTTGTTCTGTTAAATTTACATTGGGCAAGTACAAAAGTTAAGGTTATTTGGTATACCATACTGGTTGTATTTGGAATATAAAACTTCTGCTTAGGCCCTATAGAATTCATAAATCAACTAGTGGTTATTTCAGTGCAGTATTTGATAGAAATATTAAAGAGTATTTATGCAAATGTCAAAGTCACTTAGTATCCACATAGTTGGGTGAGAGGATAGATTTTTCTGCCCTGGTGATGGATTGGAGTTGTGCCAATTTTTAGTGTGTTGGTCTTGACCAACAGATTGTTTATCAGATTTGCTTCGAAGTGATTGGTTGGTGTTGCCGTGCAATTTGAATAAATCCAAACTTTGATACTTGGATATTTTAAATTTGTAAGTTGGAGTGCTTTATTGTGGTCGAAAAAACTTTAACGTAGTAGTACTAAGTTACTAACATGTAATTTCATCTGAATGACTGTATGCATCCAGGCATCCAGCAACCTTGCCTCTTCTGATTTTTCACTTTCTAACTGACCAGTGTTGAAGGAGGGTTTTTAAATTATTACTATCTTATCCAGGTCTGTCCTAGCTCCTGATAATGTCTTAAATAAATCAGTAATATGCATTGGTGATAAAACCAACCTTCTCTATTACCACCATTTGCTCGATTGTTTTGATGTCATTTGCAGTCATCTAAATGTTTCAGATAACACCAATGTGTCTTCATTGACATGTTTCTCATGTGTCTGTCCTCTGTCCCCAACTTCTTTCTTCTATGGATATTGTGTATCTGCTTTCCAAGATAATGAGGATCTTATATGATTTACATTGGTATGTTGGGTTTGAATTTGTTCACAAGAGAGCTACATTAAACATATGTTGGAGGATTGGGTAATTGAAATTTTGATAAGTCAGTTGCTGTCCTTGCTGATGGCATAGGGCTCTTAAAAATTTGAAGACTACAGTTGGTTAGGGCCTTAGGGCTTTGTTTTTTATGCAAATGATTAATTGATACTTAGACATACCTTGGCACAAGCTTGTCAGTTGAGAAGCTCATTGAGCATTAGACTACAGAAAATGAATTGCATGGCCTCAGAACATTCCTTACTTCGATTTGAAAAGGGGTATTTTAGCAGCCTTTCTAATTTCTAAGTGAGCTGGACTACGGTTCTTCATTCTTTCTGTTGACTGTAGACAGTATGGCTTTCGTTTTTGCATACTATGGTAATTTGTCAAACCAGCTTACAGTGGCCTGAAAATTAGCATTTCTCCGTATCTATACAATATAATCTGTGTTTTCTTTCTGTTGAGCTTTTCCAAGTTGAGGTTTTGGAAAAGTAATTAAATAACCTCTTTAAGAATGATTTTAGTTTTAAAGCTCCAGTGTGCCTCATCTTGGCTATAAACATGTATGCCCAAGACTGTGTGTCCTAGATCAATGAAACTAATGAGTTGCTTGTGTATTGCAGGGAAAGATTAATGTTGCAGATATAGTTGGTTTCAGCGGGCTTGAAACAATATGCTCAAAAATGGATGGTTAGTGAATTGATGCTTGTTATAAAGTTCTAATGTCCTCTGTAGCCTGTACTTATGCTTCTTTTAGTTTCTTTTTTTGTTGATTGATATAATTTTTTTTTTTTAAAAAAAAGGTCAATATAAACATTTATTATAAATAAATGAGTTTATCTTATGTGCAGCATCACTCAAACCCTGGGATAGTTCGTTTGATCTTGTAAATGTCCTTAAACATGAGATCCGTGATGGGCAATTAAGCTTCAGGGGCAAAAGAGTGCTTGAGGTGTGTACATAATGGGCAGAAATCTTTGCTTTATTAGAAGTAATATTATTTTTTCCATTTGAGGTTTTGTACAAAGAATTTCAGTCCAAATCTTTGGCTGATTTCTTGGGGTCTATTTTTTTCATTTTCACTCCTATTGAATCGATCTCTCTATAAGTTTCACTTCAAAAGTTGATTAATTTTTATTTTTCTTGTGACAGCTTTCCTGCAGCTATGGGCTTCCTGGTATATTTTCATGCTTGAAGGTATATATGTATTCTATTTGATGAGCTTTAGCAAAATTTATATTTCTCCATTTTTTTGCTGCTGGAATGATGTTCCACCACACTTCAACTACATAATCTGAAAATTTTAGATCTCTGTATCGGGATGAATTTTGAGAAACCTTGTGAATATTTTATCCTTGTCTGTGATGTACTTTGATCGGGGAGATTTGTGCTCTTTGTTTTTTCCATGATGATATATGGGAAGCCTTTTAGTGATATGACATTTGATCAACAATAAGATGATAGACATTTATAAAACTGATCAATTTCCTGCTTTCTGCTGTGTTCTATTCCACTCATTGCATAATTACATTCCCTTTGTTGCCCTTCTGGACAATCCAATGGCCCTGAACCTGACTTTCAGTACTGGGAAAGCTATTTTGTTTCCATATTATTGGATTCTGTCACCAATAAAGTTGTATATTCTTCTCTGCTCCTACTTTTGGCCGTTTTGGAGGGCCACGTTTGGGGGTGAGGATGTCATGAGAGTAAAATATTAGATTCTCAGCCCTGTTTCAGTGATCACCAAGTCACTGTTGTTTTACCCATTGGATCTTGAGCCTGTGCAGAAATCTGCAGACTATCAATCCTCTTGTATTGAATAAGAGTGCCAGGAATAAAACCATGGGACTGAGTGGGGGGAGGGGGGGCGAGGGGAAGTTGGGGGGACTTCATTCGATTGTTTAATACTTTGTCCACTTGGTTTCTTTGAAATTCCCAAAAACATTGTTGAATTTTCATAGTGGCACTATTTTAAGCAAATATGATTGAGAGATAATAACCTCATGTTTGTTTTTTTTTTTTTCCTTCCCTGAGATCAAATATATGGACAGAACGATCGCAGTAGTGTCTATAACTTATCAACTGTCTTGTCACCAAATGCAGGGTGCATGTACTGTGCATTTTCAAGACATAAATGCAGAAACTATTAGATGTGCAACCATTCCCAATGTCCTGGCTAATTTGGAGCATGCTAGAGACCGACAAAGTCGCCAACCTGAGGGGCCTGTGACTCCATCTAGGCAACCTTTGGCTCCCGCTGTGCATTTTTATGCTGGGGACTGGGAAGAGCTACCCTCTGTCTTATCTGTTGTGAGAAATGATGCTTTTGAAGCTACTCCTGGAATGAGTATGTGCTTTTCAGAGGATGATTTTAATGATGGATGTAGTAGCCAAGATGGCAGCGTTACTGGGCAAGAGTCCTCAACAAAACCTAGGCGTTCTCGGAAACTTTCTGGAAGTCGGGCTTGGGAAAGGGCTAGTGAATCAGACCATGGGGATTGTGGCTACGATGTTGTTTTGATGACTGAGATTCCTTGCTCAGTAACCTCTCTGAAGAAACTCTATGCACTGATTAAAAAGGTTAGGTCCATTCGTTCACTATTAATGTTTCTTATTAGTTTGCCTGGTTCATTATGCAACTCTCTTAAATTATGTTGTTTACTGAAACGCTTTTACTGTGTTTTGTTTTACCAGTGTCTTAGGCCTCCTTATGGAGTTCTATATCTAGCAACAAAGAGGAATTACGTTGGCTTCAACAGTGGAGCTCGGCATTTGAGAAATATAGTCGATGAGAACATTTTTGGAGTTCATTTAGTTAAAGAGATGACTGATAGAGAGATTTGGAAGGTCTTTCACAAATAAATACTCATGCTAACATGAACGAGTATATTATTGATTAGAGATTTGAGATACAAAAATTTCCCCCCTTCCCTTTAGGCGTTTGTATCCGTATAATATGTGCTGCAGATATCGTTCCTTCATTATTTTGCTTAGTGATAGTGATAAAGAAATACAAGTATGAATTTCAAGGTTAGCTGAGCTGATCTTCGTTGTAATTCCCTCCATTTAGATATCGGTAACAGGTGTAAATAGGTTTTGGCTGCGCAAGAAAAATTCTAGCAGTTTTCCACAAACTCCATAACTGATGTACGAAGTATTAGTTTTCTTTCGCCTTTATACCATGCTCTTCTAGTCTTCAGTGCTGTAAATAAAGTGATAATAAAGTCATCTGTCCAAGTATGTTTATACATATGAAACTTACAATTCTAAATTTCCAATGGTTCCAGAAAAAGTTTTATGCGCTTTTGCTCCAAAAGATTGCAAAAAAGTACAAGTTGGTAGAGAAAATGTTACGAGTTGTGTACTTCATGAGACTTGAGACACATTGTTTGTGAATTGTAACCTTAACCTTTGCACAAAATCTCACAGCTGATGTATACAGGAAAGGTAGAAGGCATAAAATTGGCACGACCCATTCCTCGAACCCAATAACCCTCCCTATTGTTTCCCCGAAGAAATCCCGTCTAGATAAGGTGAAGGTTCTTCAATAGTTATTTTTTGTTGTGTGTTTGACGATTCCCTTGGTGCATTTGCTCATTCCCTCAATCTTTTAGCTCCTTACTACAGAAGGAAACTCATACAATCACACCAAAAGGGGGAAATAAAAGAGCATGTTGAATGATTGAGGTTACAATGATATACTACGTATTTTACAAGGTAATAGTAAGCAGCATATGAATTAGGCTAAATATGAAATTTACAAGTCAACAGTAATTGTTAAAGCATATATCCTACAGTAAATTTTTTTAAAAGACTGCACTCGTTCAGCCTTTTGTCTGAACCTCAATGAATCTGACCATTTATCTCGACTATAATTGGATATTGGATTGCTCAAAAGAGAAAAATCTAAACGATATAGATTCGCAAATTTGTTGGAGGAAGATTCTATAGCGTACTTGAAGAGTATGGGTTAATTAAGGAAGTATTGTGGGACTGGCAAAGTAACTGAGTTTGTAAGAAAGATGACCGACTACTGCAAAGTAATCCCTCTACGCTGTTCATCAACTAATCTTCTCCACGCCATCTTCCCACAATGAATCAGTGTCAACGCAGCCATAAAATACAGCAAAGGAATGGAAATGATGCACCCACCAGGAGCAAAATTAATGAGTGTCTGGAAAAAAAAAATACAGAGAGCAGAGTTTTTTATTTATGTCAGCAGATAAACCGCAATATATTACAATAGCTTGAAACACAACAAGATCTAATGTCAAGGCAGACAAAATACTGAATTAAATTTATAAAATTGCAAAACACTCCAATATAAAATCACCCAGTTCTCAACAATAATCACATTACTAAATAGAAAGTTGCCCCTATCTGTGTCTACGTTGACAAGCTAATGATTATTGCTCCAAAGACCACAATTTTTTAAAAAAAAATTGTTAAAATCTATACCAACAAAAGTATAGACATCTCATATACTCGTATTAGAACTGAGTAATTTTATACAACTTTTAGCATATGAGGAATGATTTTACAGAAGTATTTATTCGAGTGGATATATGTCCGCTCTTTGAAAAATGTCCATCATCCCTCTTCCCTCCCTCATAATGAAGTTTATGAAGGTACAAAAATCCTCTTCTGACCTTCTCTCTCATCTCCGACAACTCTATCCTAAACCCTGGCCAACAAACAACACACTTCCCACCTATTTATTGTTCTGGTTAGATAAATCCATGACCAAATGATTTGGATCCCAGTACAAGTAATCCCTTTCACAACTAGCACAATTTCACTTTCTCAGCAATACTACATAATGCTTAAGTTATTATGAACAGCCATAACAGAGACCACATAACAACAAAATGATCATGTTATGCTAATAGGAATAGTCACACATTTCATGCAGAATAATGCGCACATTATTCGTTATACCACAATAAATGTAAGTATATACGCTGAACTAAATAGCAGGGTGTGCAAGTATACCAGCATTCCGGCAATCAGATGAACTATAGGAACAAAATACTGATCAACTCTCTTCGATTCAGCATATCCGTTGAAGGCAATCACCATTGAGAATGTATGAATGGTAACAAATGCAAGAGCAATAATAGCTGCCATGTACAAATCAACAATATGAGTGTTTCAGATGATAACCAAAGTAAATAAACAGAAGTAAAATAAACCTCATAGCTGTTTATCCCTACCCCATCAATACAGACACTCACATAAACAACCTTAAAAACTAAAGAAATTACAGGGTGTACCTTGATGTTTGACTAGATAAAAAGGTATATTTCACCTTGAAGGTTATCATACAAAATTTATCCATGTTTTCAAGTTAATAAGATATGGTCAATAAGAATTTATTTTGACAATTTAGAAGCATTTGAAATATGATTATAGAGGAAAGAACAGTCATGAGTCTCATGAATTTTTAATAAAATTTTGTTTAAATGCAACAGAAAAAAGATCTTACAGAGGTTGAGTTTCTGTAGCAACATATTCATAGTTTTACACTCCCCTACCACCAATACTATGTATAGATATAATTTTAAACAATATAGTTCTTTTTGATGGAATCTATCAGTTGAATCTATCATTTCTTTAGGATGTGAAAAAACTGTGTACTTTTTCTAAATGTTGGGAGAGCCACTGTATTTTAGGTCACCTACAAGAAACTCCTTCCCCTCCCTCCCATACAGCCCTCAGTGCTTCCGAAAAGCACCAAAAGAGAGATTAAAGGGCCTGCGGCAACTTTACCCATTCATACGTATGTACAAACTGAAAGGAAAATCTATTGAAAGCTGACTAACCCGAAATAAGAAAGAAAGGCATCCATGTGCATCTGTCAGCATAGTAAGTTGCAGGTCCAAATGAAGGTGTCAAGAGGCTAAGGCAGAAAAAAACAGCATGAGCCACACCATGACCTAAGCCACCAGCTGCTTGCAATTGATTTGAAGAAAAAGCACATGAACTGGATTAGAACTATTAGTCTGTTCAACAAAAGCACAAGATATACTACATCATATTTACATCATGAAAAAGAACCCCAAAATAGGAATAATTAATATCTATACATAGAAATAGCAACACACTTGTTTCCTTAATGCACTACTGTTATTGTCTCAGAAATACAAAGCCACCAAGGGCACAAAATTTAAAATCAGCTGCTGGAGATTAAGTATTGTCACTACTGGCCATATTTTAGCATAATTTAGCAGGATAATAACATGCATTTAAGACTCCATGAAGAAGATATGAATCCAGACAATCAGAAACAGACTGGCTGCTGCCCAAAACTCAGTGGATAGAATCTAGGTTCTATAGTTTAAAATCCCCAAGACACCCTCCTTGCTAGTTCTGACAACCAAAAGTCAGATTTTCTTCACTGGCCATTATTCCTAAAGCAGCATCTGCAAAAGTTAAATTCAAGGACAAATCTACTACCTACTTCGCAGCTTCCCCCCTTTCCCCACAGAGATATATAGGCGAACAATTTAGCAACTTAGCTCATAGCTTAAACAATATATTGAGGTCAAGAAAAAAAAAAAAAAAAAAAAACAATGTACATCACAGAAACCAACAAAATTGGAAACAATAATAATTCACAAGGGAAAAAAAATTCCAAAGTCCAAAGAGTATGTCAGATTAACATAGCAACGGCTTCATTGGCACTTATCCATATAACAAAATATTTCCTGATTACCTAAAGCAATTTGCATCTTATCAGTCAGAAACAGGCGAGGTTTCGAAAGCCTATCAGCAAATGCATCCAACATGTCCTCCAACCTCCTGCGCAAGGTTTACATGTAAGAAGATGAGTGATGACCCAAAAAAAAAAAAAAAGAAAGAAAGAAAGAAGTATCAGTTATCATTTTATTAAATTTCATCTTCCACATGGACCCCAGCATGAAAGGAAAGTGTCTTTTTAGAGGCTAAGCTATACTGAACCAGCTGTTCTTAAATGATCAGACCAAAATTTTCAAAAATAACACTAAAGAACATTCAACTGAAACAACCTACAAAAGCTTCAAAAGTATACTTATAGGTTCCTCACTCCAGAGGCAACTAATACACTAAATTATTGCTCTTTTTATCCTTTTCTTAACATATAACGCAAAACATTTACTCGATTACGCCCACCACTTCTTAGTGGATTTCATCTGATATTTATTTTCTTATAGAAAATAGAAACGAAAAAAAATTATAATGGATGAAATTTGAAAGATATAGCAAAGAAAAAGGTAAGATGTACTATGGCTCTATGAGAGTACTCTCCCGTTACAAAAGAGATAAATAACTCAAAAATACATTAGAATCAGTAAATGTATATGAGACACAATATACAAGGAAACATAGTTACATACAGGTAAGCTTTCCATAGAAGAATACGAAGTCCTTCCTGAAAGCAAACAGATGTAAAGACAAGAATTGCATACGGCCACCATGCTGTTGACTTGAAAGGCAAAAAACCCCTCCAAAGCCCTGAAAGCATAATCAAACTCACCAGCCATAGTAGTGTGCTGAAAATCCAAATAAAAGACAAGTGAGACAAAATTGAGGGCAACATTTGTCCATTCATTATCCTAACAGAACCCAAATACTACTTTAATGCAGCTACTTACAAGAACTCAAACAATAATCTAACAACCTTCTAGTCTGGACAACAGAGATTAAGTATTGTATGACAAAGGCACACCATCATGGCTTCACCTAAAGTCACTCTAAGTCTCTAACTATATGAAGTACAATTATGATAAGCTTAAACAGATCCAATAGTTGATTGGCCTCTAAGTTGAATATTTTCCATAGGATCAGAGCATTATATTTTCACATCTAACTCCTAAGAGTAACTTCAATTTTCAGAAAAGAAAACTGAGAACCCTCAGCTTAAAGTAACATCAATAACAAACCAAAACCTTGAGCATAAATATATTTTTCAGCTGTAGTATAATGGAAACAACTCCAATGATCGTCTAAGTTAATTTAAAATCAGATTTAGAAAAGAACTTTTTTAAAAAAAAATCACTTTGCTAATACACCATAGAAACAAAGATCTAGAGAACAAATGTCCACAACAAAAGCTAACATTTCAAAATTGCTGCAAACATATCTACTTACATATATATCCCCCTCTTCTTAATACCATAATCTGGTGTATAAGAATACCTGCTTGAGGACAACTTTGTAGTCAAGCACTAGTGACAAATATTAACTAAGTTTTCAATATAGCAATAAAGATCAGCTCTTAATAAACAATTCCCATTTTCCAGCTGGAGTAGGAAGTTGCTACGCATTAGTCAGAAATCCTGATGGAAGGTTTCAGTTCCTCCATAATAAAATAAAAGTTAGAATTAGAATTACTAATGTGGTCAGTTTGTGAATCTGGAAAGATTAAGTTAGTTTGGATAGTTCCTGCAACTAGCTAACATGAATTTGGAATTGCTAGTGATTGAGGGCAGGATAAAAACAATTCAATATTAATTTAAGTAGGCAAAACAATAACAAAGGAGCTTTATAAAGAAAGGTAATGCCTCTCCTTTCTTTACAGCAAATGTTCCCCTAAAATATCCTTGACTTCTCTTATTATTGTAAAGTAGTAAGTCAGTCAATTGCCTCTAAAATAAAGGGTCTGATGGAGAAACCTTTTTTTGATTGCAAGGTTAAGGCTAAAAGAGCCTCTTTGCAGCTGCATGGTTAAGGAAAGAAACCTCCTTAAAAACATTGGAATGTCATGGTAATCCATAGGTGGCTATTTAATACCTAGGATATGGTATGGTATGGTATGGTAGGCAATAAAGATGATAATCTCCATGTAAAATCTTCAAATTACTAAGAAGTGAAATCTAAGGTGGCTATTTAATAACCCAGGCTTCTAAGAAGTAAAGCTAAGGTTGCCATTCAAAACCTCAGGTACGAAGTGAATCTTAGGTGGTAATCAATAGCTCAGGCGAATACACATGACTGCTCAATCGGCAAATTTCATTCCTATAAGACTAAGTTTCTGCTAAACTACTCCCATGCTCCAAACTCCAAAAACTGTCTGTCTCTGTCTCCAACTTTGCTACTAAGCAAAAGATAATATGCCTAACGGAAATGAATAGCTCAAAGATCTCGCAACTCTCAAGAAGAGGGATATCTCTTTGATCATTCCACACAAAAACCTCTAAGCATTGGGCATTCATCTTGGAACCAACAAAAACCTCTCTGGCACATAGCTCCTTTCTTTCCTGTATCACAAGAATTATTTCTCCTATCTCAAACCAAACAGCAAGCAATTAACCATCAAGCACGGTTTCATTGTTCTCTCTGATCTCATTCTTACTGTCTAGGAGTAATCAAATTTAGCAATTGATCTGTATTATTTCATTGTACTATAGGTTCTCGAAACATCGACAAAATAGCATAAAAACCCTAAGGCCTGCTGAAATGGTGTAACATACAAACCATCACAACTCAATACAAAGAAGAACCTCAGCCAAACAATCAACAAAAGCACAAAACTCATTATAAATAAAATAATGTAACAATTAAACAGAAAATTAATGAACCAACAATACAGAAGGCATAAAACTAAATAATCTCTTTAGTTTGCAAAATCACTAATCTAATACGAAGTACATACAGTTGACATAGTAATCACAACAATTAAGGATGATTAAAGAACATTGAATAAAACCCATTAAAATTAAAAACTACCCAGTTCATTTTCTGGGTTCAATTGCATTAATGAGAAATAAAATGCAATGAGACAGAAAAGGAAAAAAATGGAAAATGGAGAGAAATACCTGGAGAGAACGGTGAGGATCAAGAAAGGTTTTTTGGCGATGACAGAAATAAAGAGTGATAGAGAAGGGCCTAATGCTATTAATGCATACCCAATACCTGCTGCTACAGTCATCTCTTTCTACCTCCTCTCTCTTTCACTTTCTCTCTCTATTTCTGAATTCAATCAGATGAACAAGTTGCTGCCTTGTGGAGAAAATGGAAAAAATACAGTCAATTTTTTATTATTATTTTTAATTAAAGTAAGATACATGGTGGTGAAGATTAAGTAGTCTTTTTACAAGACGTGTCCAGTAAAGGTGTGCATCGTGCCGGGTCGTGTCGCCGCGGGATGTGCCTAGCAGGCCACGGTCTCCGGCGAGCCGTGCCGTGCCGTGCCACCGTGCTGCAGGAGGCATGTCGTGCCGTGCCATCCAAATTCGCAGGCCAACCCACGACATGGCCCACGTGCCAAGTGGGCTCGTGCCGGGCTGGCCTGTGTGCTAGCCTGCATGCTGGTCTGCTGGGCTAGCCTGGTGGGCTGACCTGACGGGCCGCTGCTGGACTGCTGCCTTTTCTTTTTATTATTTTTTTTTTTTATTATTTATTGATAGTTTATAACTTATAATCTTATATTATTATTTTTCTAAAATAAATTAAGTTTTATATTTATATTTTATTATTTTCTATATTTAATATTTATATTTATATATTTAGTTTATACTACTACATTATAGTTTAATGTTTATAATTTATTATATTTATTTTTGTATTATTAATTATTAATTATTATAATTTTTTTTTTGTTATATTAATTTACAAATTATAACTTAACGGGAAAAAAAGGCAAATTGGACTTTGGATGTGAATAATGCATACTTCATATTATTATTACTTGAAAAAATTGTGCAATGATAATAATGATAAAAATCGTACAAGGATATTAAACAAAATTGGATAATGATAAAAATCGTAAAATGATAATATTGATAATGATAAAAATTGTACAATATACAAAAATGTCTATTCTTCTTCTTCTTCTTGGTCGTCTTTGTCTTCGTCTTCGGCTTCGGCTTCAAGGTCATCAGCTAGTTGCATAGATTGGGAACTAGCCGAACCTGAACGGTCGGAAGCTGAGGTTCCTTCATCGTTGTCGTCGTAAGAACGGTCTTGTGAGCGGTTTTCGCATCCAACCAATCTTTGAAACACACGCACATTTCAAGTGTTTCGGGTTTCAGACTTGTTTTTCTATCGTCTAAACCCTCCCGGATGCACTGAAAGCTCGTTCGGAGGCAACGGAGGAGACTTGGATACCAAGAATGTCTTGTGCCATTGCCGCCAAAGTTGGATGCTTCGTGCTTTGTTGTTTCCACCATGCAAGGAGGTCAGGCTGTTTATCTCATCGTCGTCCATGCCCTTAGTGAAGTCGTAACTCAGGTACATTGCATCTCCGAAACATCGCTTTGCGTTCTCCTTATTGATGAATCACCTGAAAACCTTGAAATCAAGTTAGTAGCTTGTGAAAATAAATGTTTGGCCTTCTTACTTACGTTTTTGGATGGTTGGGAAGGGCCTGAGCGAGGAACGGTGCCATATTTGGTTTCATAGACTCTATATCAAGCAAAAAACTGATCCTTCACATTAGTCTTATAGGTATCTACATCATCGTCAAGAAGCATGCATTGAAAGTAAATGTCAACTAACATAAATGTATTTTCATACTTTTGCCTAGGATCTAATATGGAAGCAAAAATATAAATCAAAAGAATTTCACTATAATATTTACGCCACTTTGTTTCCATTGCTGGAAGATACTGATCATAATCACTTTGGTTGCGATGATCAGCGAAAAGTTGGGCGAGTAAACATGCATTTGAAAGAAACTTTTGAGCACAAGGATTATAAACAGAATAAAAACAATACGTCATGTTATATAATAACTGTAAAAATTGCACATAACGTTCACATTTATCCCAATCATCCTCATATATAGCAGTGTATGGAAATTTTCTGTTGTAAACAATTGTTAACGGATTCTTGTACTCAATTGCCTTGGTTAACATCACTACAAGAAACAGCTTGATTCCGACGGAAAAAATCCGTCGGAAACATCGGAAATTCCATTGGAAATTGGTCTTCCGACGGAATTCCGTCGAAATCAGTCTGTCGCAAAACCCTTTGTAGGAAATTCGACCTTTTCCGACGGAATTTCCGTTGGAAGGCTAGTTTCTGACGGATTTATTTCTGTCGGCGCTGTTTTTGACTTTAATCGAGAGTCCGTCGCAATTTTCCGACGGAAAAGATTCCGTCGGAATATACCTCTTCCGACGGAATATTCCGTCGGAATCTACTTCCTTCCGACGGAAATTTCCGTCGGAAATGTTAATAAAAAAAAAAAAAACAGCCCCACCCACCACCAGCCCTAGCCTGAACCCTCCCACCCACCTTACCCGAACCCACCACCAGCCCTAGCCACCTCCAACCCACCCAGACCACCCCACCCAAACCCTACAACTAACCCCATCTCCACCCACCAACCGTACCCACCCACCACCACCCCACCTAAAACCGTACCCACCCAATACCCCCACCTTAACCTACCTCACTTAACCCACCACCACAACCCAGTACCCCCACCCTAACCGGACCACCCACCACCTTAACCCCCCCACTTAACCCTAACCAACCTAAATCCAGATCTACCACCCAAACACCCCAAACCACGACCACCACAACCCACCCCACCGCCACCCCCTAACCCACCACCACCATTCCACCAATCCATTTTTCCGAATACAATTCGGAATAAAAAAAAACCAAAAAGAACAAAAAATATTGAAAAAAAAACAGATCTATACAAATTGAAATAAAATACAATTCAGAATACAAATCAGAACAAAAAAATCGTATTCTATACAAATTGGAGCAAACGAACGAATACAAATCGGAACAAAACAAAAATATTGAAAAAAATACCTGATCTATGCAAATTAATTAAAAAAACAGAATACAAATAGAAAAAAACGTAAAAAATGGGCGATAACAGATCTGCAAACGCTGGACGAACGAAGTGGTGCATGTCGAATTTCAATTATTTTGCTACAGTTAGCTCGAACTGCTGGAGAATTGGGTTGCGAAATTCCTCTAATTTTTTCATTGAATATTCTGTGGTTCATTGCTCGAATATGGGGGGATTTTTGCTTGATTTTTTTGGTTCGTTCTTTGCTCAGATTTCCTAGGGTATTTGGTTCATTTTTTTGCTCGAAAATGAGGGGATTTGGCTCAAATTTGCTAGAGGATGTAGGTGTTGCTCGGTGTTGTTGTGGCCGGTGATAGGCTTGTGAGAGGAGAGGAGAAAGAAAATGAGAGGCGGTGGTGAGAGAAGAGGGGAGAGAAGAGGAAAGAAGAAGAGCAAAGAGAAGAGGAAAGAGAAGAAGAGGAAATAAAAGAGGAGAGAGAAGAAGCAGATTATTAAGAGAAGGAGAGAGAAAGAGAAAGAGGATCCTATATGATGATAACATGTTCCGACGGAAATTAATTCCGTCGGAAGTAATAGCTTCCGACGGAATTTTCTGTCGGAAGATATTTTCCGAGGGAAAAATTCCGTCAGAAACTTGTAATTCTGACAGAATTAAGTTCCGCGGAAAACATTCCGAGGGAATATTCCGTCGGAAGTTATTTGTTCCGACAAAATTAATTTCCGTCGGAATATTTCCGAGGGAAATTCCGTCGGAATATTTCCGAGGGAAATTCCGTCGGAAATGGTATTTTCCGACGGAATATTCTGAGGGATCAAATTTCGTCGGAAATTCGTAATTTTCCGACGGAATTTAAGGTCCGTCGGAAAACAACCCATTTCTAGTAGTGCATGTCATAGGTGGAATTCCACCTAGTTAGGCTATCGGTTTTGATTTTTATTGCTCTTATCTTTTGTTGTCTTAGAAAACTCTTCCATTCTTGGTATCTCATGTTTGAGCTATTAATAGACATAATAGCATCTCTAATTTTGGTGTAGTATGGACCAATTGCTCTAATTCCATCCTGTACACACAAGTTAAGAACATGGCAAACACATCTAGTATGAAGTGCATCACCATCTAATATTACATCGGTCAAGTTTTGTTTGACATAATTAGCAGTATATGTAGAGCTGGCAAAAACTGACATGACACGTCAACACGACATGAACCGAACACGGAAAAAACGGGTTAGTGTCAAGGTTTTCAACATGTTTAATTAAACGGGTCAACACGACACGACACGTTTAATTAAACAGGTTGGGTTAGTGTTGAGATTCTCAATACGAAATTAACACGACCCAACCCGCCTAATATAAAAACCAAATAATTTATGGAATTATTAATAAATATATTGAATAAGACCAATATTTTTCAATTCAACACGACAACACGACACAAACCGAATACGAAAAAAGCGGGTTAGTGTTAAGGGTTTTCAACACAATTAATTAATTGGGTCAACACGACACGACACGTTTATTAAATGGGTCAGATTAGTGTTGACCTTCCCCAACCCGTTTAATTTCTGACACGAAAACGAACACGACATGACACGACACATTTGCTAGGTCTAAGTATATGTCATTGAGGTTGCATTGTCAAATGTCACAGACATGATTTTTTCTCAAAAGTTGTATTCATTTATTGCTTCCATTAAATGGTGAGCAATGTTAATACCGGTGTGGGGGTATTCCAGCATTTTAAAATGGATTATTCGTTTTTGTAACAACCATTGATCATCTACCCAATGGCAAGTCACACATAAATAGTAATATTTATAACCACTATCCCAAGAATCGACAGTCAAAGACACTCAACATTTAAGTTTACTCAATTCGTCTTGTAACCGCATTTTGTACTCTAGAAAGTTTTTCATGGCGGCGGAACGAACGGTTTTCCTAGAGATTCTTTTATGTTGGGGTTGTAATGCTTTGTTAATGAAAGTGTTAAATGGGTCACTTTCGGAGAAAAGAAAAGGTTGTTCGGCGTGTACTATCATTTTCCCTAGTTCATCCCTATCCCTCTCATAGTTGTAGGTAAAGCCGTGTGGATGGAATTGGGAAATTTTTGGCTGGGTTGGATCAATAGCTGGTTTTGCACAATTTCTCATGTGTCTACTTAAGTGTGTCGTCCCGGATTTGGATTGTGCCGAGTATGTATGACCACATATTTTACATTTTGCTCTTGTTTGGTCTTTATTTAGGAGGAAA